ACATATGAGCTCACTACATCTCAATCTCCAAACATTTCCAAAGCATCTAGGTCTCTTCTTCAGTGATCTCTGGAGTAGTATTTCTCTCATGAACACTCAAGGTCATACATTTTCTGCTTTTCCTTATGTTTATTAACATTTCACAGGATCAGTCTTATTCCTTGAACTCTAACTCCTTGACATAGTGCATTGGCAGCTTTTTCCGGGGCAATATGGACAAATGTCTATTCATTCCAGATAGGAAACCAATGACGACTGAGAAATGATTCTACACTAGTCTGACTTGATAAATGATTTCTTTGGGGTTGCCTACAGGAGCATGGATGAGGGTACCTTTCAGGAGGATGGGGGAGGGGTACCTTTCAGGAGGACTGGGGAGGGTTACCTTTCAGGAGGATGGGGGTGGTTACTCTCACAAGCATGGGTGAGGGGTTACTGACAGGAGCATAGGTAGTTCGAAGGTCGTACCGAGAAGCTCACCCCAACCTGGGTGAGTCATCACTCATGGAAAACTCCAACCCTGGATCTCCCTGCCCAATTTGCAGCCTGTCCACCTGAGAGTCTCCTTTCCCTGGCAGCTGTCTGTGGCCTTTATAAGCTTGGAGAAAGGCCTTGTGAATTTTGTAATCTCTATGAGCTTCCTTAGTCACAGTAGCGTCCTTCCTCCCTCTAGGGAGTGTTTCAGTGTAGAGGAGACAGCTACACAACGCATGGGCAGGTCTTAAACAGTTTTCCAACATGTCTGGTAGGATTCCTTTTGTCTGTGTGCTTCCATGACTATTAAATAATTGCCTAATATCTAACTGAAGGTGACCCAAGATCCCAGTGCTGGATGGAACAGTATGATTCTTGTGTCTGCAAGTTTGCAGAGCAATGGGGTGATATCATTTGATTCTTCTCATCCACCCTAGACAAGAATGGAACAATGAAATAGCACAGATATGTGTATCTTAAGAGAGAGAATTTAGAATTGCAAGCACACACATCCTTATCCAAAGGCATTCCGAACTAGTGATTTGACCTTACTTTTAAAGGCAGAATTAGTGGTATGGTATTAGAAGCAGAGTTCAGGAAGCAGACACCATTCATGCTTCACAGTATTTGTGGCTGTTCTTGTTCTAGATAGGATTACATTTCCCTTGCTCTGTGCACTTGGCCTTGGCTGTGAGACTGGCTTTGCACAGAGGAGAATTGTCCAAATGCACTGAATTGCCAATTCAAGAAAAAATGATTCTTCTGCCTTTTCCATAAACTGTCTTGGTAGTGTGTTTGTTGTAGAAATGATGTAGGATGCATTAGAGACTGTCTTGTCAACCCATGGAGAACTGATTCTTGGAGGGCTGCTTGGATATGCAGTGGGTTGTGAGAGGGAAAGATGGAATTTGGGGTGGTCTTAAGTGGCTGTGGTTTAGGGGTCTTTACTGCAGGGTGACCTTGACTCTCCCAGCACACCTGCTGGTGCCAAGGTCACCTGTGGCTTGAAGAACCTTTAGAATGATTTCACAGCATACTTGTCAACAGTTCTAGAGGTGTTTTGCCTGGGTTCCTATCCAATTACCACCGCTACTTGGACAAGTTCCTAGCTCTCTGGTTTCTTCATCAATAATGTAAGATGTGAGTTTCTAGTCTCATCGTGGCTGCTGTGACTCAACACCTTTAACAGCAAGTGACTCTGGGGTGAAAGCAGTGACTATAGCTCATAATTCCAGGTTGCAGTTTATTATTATGGGGAAGTCAAGGCAGGATCTTCTCATAGCTAATCATATCACACCCACAGCCAAGAGCAGAGGAAACACACATGTGCTTGCCTGTGCTCTCCCAGATTGCCCCACTCTTTCGTGCTCAGGACCATTGCCTATGGATCGGCACTGCCTGTAGTGGTCTGAGTTGTCTCACATCATGAGCCTTAATAAGACAATCCCCCGCAGATCATGTTCACAGGTCAACCCGCTATGGACAGTCGTCATTGAGACTTTCTTTACAGGTGATTTATAGGCTGTGTCAAGACAACACTGTCCATCACAGATGCTAATAATACTTGCTATGGTTGGACTGTGAAATGTACCCCACAGGTTCATGGGGTTGAACACTTATTCCCCAGCTAGTGGTGCTTTTGGGGAGGAGGCTATGGAACCTTCAGGAGGCAGAGCCTTGTTGGAAAAAGTGGGATCACGGGAGGAAGTGGGGGCATTTATGTTTTATAGCCCCCTTTCTGAAGGCTCTCAGTTTTCTGGTAGACTAGGATGTAAGCAAGCCGCTGTCACATGCTCCTGTTACCATGGAGCTTCCTGCTGCCACGCCATCCCACCATCGCGGACTGTATTATCACCAAACCATCAACCAAAGGAAACTTCCCCTGCATTACATTGCGCTAGCAAGGCATTTTATCACAGTGACAAGACGAGCAGTGGGTACACAGTACCTCATACTGTTATGTGGACCGGTTAGCTGATTCATAAACAGTGCTAACACAATGCTCTAGGACAGTGCACAGTCGAAGCTAGTTATCATTAGTGCTATTATTTCTAATCAGAAAGCGTCTTAAACTCAGCGCACTGGCTTATTGCTTCCTGGCTTGCTCATGCTGTGTGTCCCGTCTTGAAGGCAGTGTCCCACTTCAGTTAGTTGAGATGAGCACCAGAATCTTATCCCACTCCATCGCTGGCTGCATTCGGTCAGGGACCGTATCGTCACGACTTTAGCAATTTAAATGTGCATGACTATTCCTAATAACCCTGGATGTACTCCCTGCTCTGTTTTGTCACTCCGCGTGTCACACTTCATTATTCTTTTCCGCGAGTGACAGCTTCCTGATTTTTGTCTCCCCATATCAATGTTTGGGAGACAGGACAGTGATATTAGGAACAACAGGCTTTTCTTCTTCTTCTTTTTTTGACAGGGGTTCACTATGTTTGCCTGGCTTGCTGGGGACTCACTCCATAAGATCAGGGCTGCCTTGAACTCACAGAGATCTACCCATCTCTGCCTCCCAAGAGCTGAGATTAAAGAGGCACACCTCTGCTCCTGCCAAACATCTCATGTTTTTGTCATGGAAACTGACCTTGAACCCTGGCTTTACTTCTTGCCGAGGGCAGAGTTTGAGGAAAGCTGGTTAATCTCTGTTTCCTTCCTTCATCCTTATGGGGTTTCCCACATGCACTTGCACAGGCAGGCCTTAAGAGTTTGTATGAGATCACTAACTAAGGCTGTGCTCTCTCTCAGCATGTAGCTGGAAATCAACCGAGCAATTTGAGTCCTCTTCCCTCCATTGGATGTGACCGTGTTATTGCCAATTTTAATTGCAGGGTTACACTAGGTCCTCCTGCACAATCACGGATGTACAAGGAGGCACGATCCTGCATCCTGTCTCCTGTTGTTGAACTAGCATCTCTAAAGTCATACCGATTTTCCTCCTCAGTTTGGAATGCCTAACTCCCCTCCACCAAAAGTTCAGAACTAGTACCACATCCTCTGAGAGCCGGCTTTAGCCTTCGGTGTATCAGTTAGTTAGTGCCATAAACTCGATGCATAAGAGATGTCTCTACGATGTAGTGGATCAAAAGAGCAAGAATTTATTCTTAAAGATCTGTAGGTTGGCAAAGGTTACCCACGGGAGGTTGTATTCACTTGGAGTGACTCAGTTTCTCTCTGCATGACTCTTCTTTCCTCCTGCTGAAGCTGAAAATAACGATGTTTTCTTAATTAGCATAATTCCGGTGATCAGAAAGAGGGTCTCAAGGTAAGCCTACCTGTTTCAAGCAATCCACTGTAATATGTCAGGAATTACTTGGGGAGAAAATGATCAGTATTAAGAATTGCTTGAGGATTAGGTGTGGTGGTGAACACCTATAATCTTAGCACTCAGGAGATGAAGGCAAAATAATCTTGAGTTCAAGGCTAGTTATTAGCCAGAAAAACAGACAGACAGGAGCTAATGAATGTTCCTGTTGTTTGCAGAACTGAAAAGCACTTCATGATTAACAGACTGGCATTAGATGTGTATCGCCTGCTCATGCAAACAACTCCTCAACTAGCATCCTGCAAGAGCGGGACAAGAATCTTCCATCTTCTTGAGTCAACTTTTTCAGATGAAGCAAGTCATCTTCCTTGCTTCAACTCAACCTGGCCTCTTTGCTCAACTGACCCATTAGGCGGCAAGCATCCAGACTGGCATCCATTTACACAAGGACCAACAGGACAGTCTAGACATGCTTGTCTGAGGGCCATGGCAGGAGAGTGAAATCTTGTGCAGAGGTAGGCAGGCCTCTTCTTTTCTAGATATGGAACTAGTGCTCCATAACCTGCGCTTCATTTTACTGGAGAAAATGAGTCGTATGGTCAAATCCAAAGTCGAGGTATAGGAAAGAATGCCCCTCCCAAGATGCAGTGTGTGAGCATGACATAGAGCTGCAGAGAAAAAAACTCATTATAGGAAGACACAGAATTCATACCAAAAATGCAACCTTCCACATTCTAGTTAGAATTGATAACTCTGCTGGAGTTTTGAACTTTCCCTTCTGTCTCTTTAACAAGCTGTTGTGAGAATTTTCTTCCTGGTCAAGACTTGATAACTTCTGCCCCTGTCCTTCTAAGGTTCCAACAACAAGCCAACATTTGAATCCATCATAGTTCCCCCTGGGGAATCAATGAGTTTATAGGATTTACTTAAAGAGTGTGGGTAAGGGGTCACCAATAGAAACATGGGTGTCTCCAAATCAGATATGCCAGAAAGTCTTTGTCCCTGCATGGATGATGGCTTCCCATAGCTACACAGAGGAAGGCCCCTTCCTTTTGTTTGTAAAAAGAAACCTGGGAAGTGTTTTTGTCAGAAGATATTCATAATTTGTTTCTAAATAGTGGTTAATAGAATTTTCCCCTCTAAATGATCACAAAATTATCTGCAAATTAGTTCTCCCAGCAATCAACCAACAGGTAAGAGAGAAATTTTGCCAAGAAGGAACTTTGGAAGGATTTGTAAGAAATGCTCCAGTAAACACAGATCAAGTGGAAGGAAGATTTTTATTTGCAGATATGAGGGACTATTCATCTTGTTGTTTTAAGACAAGGGATGACAATTTTGTAGGTTACAGATGAGGTTGCAATTGTACCTTTCCCAAGTTCATCATCAAAAGCCTGCTTATTACTACTTACTGACAGTCAGTCATTACACAGGAGTTGTAAGATGCTCCTTTCCTAATTCTACCATTCCTTCATCAGACAGTAAACAGAGAATTTTGTGCAGAAAACGCTTTCTTCTCTGTGTCCACCCTTGGAAGTTACCATATGAGCTGACGGATTCCTTTCCATCTTAATGGTCATTTTTTGTTAATGTCATAATAGCCCCAAACTGACCTGTGAGACCCACTAAGCCCAGTCTTCACTCTTCTTTGACTCATTCTTATTGGTCTAAGAGAATGTCCCTGAGTCAAGCAAGGCAATCTGTTTTTAGCTTACTAGTGGTCTGGAATTTGTCACACCCCCAAGCTTCCCCCGTTTTTTTCCCCCACCAGAACTGTTACTTAGAAACCAGGATCTAGGCAGTTGATGTGCCTCTTGTCACTGTAATGTCATTGCTTGTAGGTCTGTTCACTTGTACCTATAAAATTTTCAGCATTGTTCACAACTGCTGCTCTAATACGACTGCTAACAACAGAGGTACAGTCTGAAGTTTCATATCTCGATAATTCCTCAAGTTATCAGGCCACCAGGAACACAGAGTGTGGCCTCACATTGTCACCCAAAAGATGACTTGTTAATGAAAGGAAGATGAGCCTTTCCGACGCTGACACCTTGCAGTCATCTCCAAATCACCGATTGAAATTGGCATCATTAGTCATGCCACTAGCTTTGTGTGACACCTGAAATCATACACCAGGGAAGTTGGCAATATCACCTTGCCGGAAAATATTATTCTTAATCTATTCATGGGGAAAAGAAATCATGAAGGTCTGCCTTGTCCTATATTGTTGGCTGTGATGATTCATCTTGGCAATTTGGTGGCATTTAAAATCACCACGAAAACGAAGCCTGGGCGTGTCTGGGAGGGAATTTCCAGACTGGATAACTGAGGTGGAAGACCCTCCTTAGATGTGGGCGGAGCCATTCTATGGGCTGGGGTACTGAATAAAAGGCGAAAGGAACTTGAGTATCCGTGTCCACGGGACTCTGTTCCCTAATTGTGGATGCGTCACCCTCTTGCCAACATGATGGATGATATCCTCCACCTGTGAGCCAGAACAAATCTTTCCTTCCTTAAGTTACTTCTTGTCATGTTGGTGGCAGCAGTGAGTAAGGTAACTAATACACCCACATTATTAAAGAATGCCAACGTCACCAGGTCTTCTGTCACAAGCCTATAATCCCAGCACTCTGGAGATGGAGGCGGCAGGGTTGCAGATTCAACGCCAGTTGGGATTATACATTGAGACTGTCTCAATGAAGCAAAGCAAAGCGAAGCAAAACTAAAGTTAATGCCACGCAAAGAGTAAATCAGAGAGGAACTGTTCTAGATGAAAATGGACTAAGGGGACACGATAGCCAAATAAAATACATGATAAGGTATGCTTATGAAACAGTTGGAAACTATGCATATTGGCAATAATTGTGATATCTGTGTATTAGAGGGCATCAAGATGGGCAATGTGCTTATGTAATACATTGGAGGCTTTGTCTGAGACAGGAAGCAGACCCCGGTTTCTGTAGATGTCAGCAGACAATGAACTAAGAAGTCAGGAGGTAGCAGAGTGTGTCATTTCTCCCTGGGGCGCCCACCAGGACTTCTGAGAGAGCTGCAAGTGACCATGCAGGACTATAAATGGAGGTTGCAAGGAGGATGGTGGGGGCGGGGCGGATGCCCAATGGTTTCGATTACTTTAAACTCTTCACTCACATTATTTTGATAATACTAAAACTTTAAAAAGTCTTATAATAAAATCGACAACTGCAAGTGAGACAGAGAGGAAAAATCTTTGGGATCTGAAGACCTTCCCATCCTGGGAGAATCAGAATCCAATCCTGTGGGCATCCTCTGGAGAAGTTCAAGTAGGGTCACCATGCCAAAGCAGTCACAGTATCACAGAAAAGCCTTCTTTAAATATTTGCTGACCTCCTTCTTCAGACCTCTTACAAGTCCTTCTCTTACTCATCTAGACAACGCTGGAGGTACTCAGAAGGCGTCAGCGACTCTTGTGGAGTTTACGTCACATACGTCTCAGAGCACCGGGCCTGAGTTAACTTGCATGGATGGGGCATATAGCCCTCCACCATTTCAGACGGGAACCTCGGAATTCTTCCCGAGCACCAGGTGATGTCCTGGTACTCTACGCTTGTACACAGCCTGTCAGTCTCCTCATAGCCCCGCCCCACACTCAAGTAGGAGATTGCTAAGCTACTTTGTTTATATTTCCTTTAGTAAGTGAGTTCTGGTTGTCCTTGAGACTGAATGGTGCAGTATGGTAAGTGTTCCAGAAGTGAGCAGGCATCATTAGCAATGCAAGCTACTCTTGGGGGATGATGCCAACTGTTTGAGAGTGAAGATCCACTTGGGAGGAGAAAGATATTACATGGAAAAATGATATTGGTGTTATTGATACTGCTCACAGAGAAAATCCTGCAATGAGAGAAGGAAATTGAGTGCGGAGGGAAAAGGGAACTGGGAAGTGTTGAAGAGTCTAGGTCATCTCCTTTTGGTTTTATTGTTTGCATCATTATCTGACAACTTTAGCTAAGAGGGCTCATATTTGCCTTCAGATAGTGATGACATCTCTCATCCGCATTGCTGATGATGGGGAAAAATGGGCCACATATCCTAAGTAGCTTATATTTGGAGAGATGAAAATTAATATTTTAAGAGATTTCTACAAACAAACAACAAACAAACGGCAAGAGAGACGGCTCGGCAGTTAAGAACACTGCCTACTCTTCCAGAAGTGCTGGGTTTGATTCCTAGCACCCATATGGCAGCTCACTACTGTCTGTCAACTCTATTTCCAGGGGATCCACCACCCCCTTCTGGCCTCCTCAGGTACTGCACACATACATACATACAACATACATGCATTCATACATACATACATACAACATACATGCGTTCATAATACAACATACATGCATTCATACATAATACAAAATACATGCATTCATACATAGAAACACTCATATACATGAAATACTTAAAAAAATAAAAAACCCAACTAGTTGTGACCAAATATTGTGCCCCAAATATGTTAAAGGGGAAAAGCTAACAATAAACAGAAACAAGACAAGTAAGGCAATGACAACTCTAACTGTGCTCAGCAGGGGGCTGTTTCCATTTTTCTGCAGGACGAGAGTGATCATAGAAAGAACGTCCAGTGAAGCCCCTTCCCAAGTCCACCGGACCCTTTCCATCACATGGCATCTTCCTCCTCTCTGGTGTCTCCGCTCTCATGGTCTTCTTTATCTCCCCACCTCTGCTCTCCTGTGTAAGTTTTCACAAGAAGCCACAACAAGGCACACACCAGGCTGCACTCGAGGCACTGGGGCATGAGTGATCCTTTCATGGCTGCAGGACAAGCAAGCCTTCAGACAAGGGGTGAGAGCTGTTTGACTGCCCTTCTGAAGAATGCTTGTCTGGGTTGACTAATTAATATCATTATTATAAGAGCAAAATAGAGATTCTTTGAAAAGAGTAACGAAGGGAGAGGCAGGAGCTTAGCTTGCTCGTGAGAGGCATTAAAATGGAATGTTCTGTCTGTTTCCTATGCTCTCTCCAACAACAGCCAGCAAAGGAAGATGTGTTGGGTTTAGTACAAGGCTTTCCTATGCTTGTGGTCAACTGAGCCTTTAACGAACCACTTTCTCAAAGACAAAACAAAAACACGAAGCCTGCTGTTTATTAGGTTAAGGAATAGGGTAGACTGACTTTGTACAGCTCCTTGGAAGCCATCCAACTTGTACTTTGAACAGTGTCCCTCTGTCATTGGGACCTGGAGCTTGTCAATTAGCCCAAGATGGCCGGTCAAGAGATCTATAAGGATCTGCCCATGTTCCCTCTCCCCAGGGTTGCGACTACAAGAATGCACCATAATGGCTATGTCTTATGCTTTAGATTTATTTACTTATTTAACTTATTTGCTGTTTATATGTGTGAGTCTGCTTAAGTATATATGCATCATGTCTGTGCTGTGCCCACACAAGCCATAAGAAGGCATTGGATTCCCTGGAACTGGAGTTACAGGTGGTTTTGAGCTACCGTGTGTGCTGGGAACAGTACTCAGATCCTCTGTATGAGGATGTAAGTGCCCCTAATCACGGAGCCATCTTTCCATCACCCAAAGCATCTGTTTTAAACATGCTCAACAAATTAGAGTTGTGTAGAATCTGTCTGCAATATTTCCCATTTGAAAGAGTCTCAAAAGTTTCAACATGGGCTCATCAACACTAAATTCCTAAAAATGCTTGTAGGCTCGGAAGAGAAATCCAGATGAAGTGCTGAACAGAGTTCACTGACAGAATTCAAAGACTGACTGTGTCACTTCTAACAAGACATGGGAAGACACGTTGGGACATTGTAATGAAACACGCGAGGACTCAAGCACTGTTGTGTGGACCATACTGAAAGAGTCCCACTTCCCATCAACTACACTGACTTAGTAAAGAGAAAACTCAGATGAGAATTAAGGAAATGCAAAACAAAAGAGCCAAAGCTGAACACTGCCATCAGCAGAAAGTAATCTGACCTGGAGGCCGCTGCCACCCCCCTCCAACACAATCACATAGAAACTGTGCTTCTTTAAGACGAAGAGAGAATTTTGAATAGAGATAATGAGCAGACTCCAGCATCATTTGATAATCCAATTAATGAGGAGGAGTGACTCACTCGGACACCTAGGAGAAAAGATTTCAATTCTGTCTGATTTGAGAGAAAGTTACTGACACTGGCAGCGACACTGTAAAACCCATAGCCCATTAAAAACCAATAAGTGTCTTCAGTTCAAGATAATTTAAGGTTAGTTAAGAAAAGGTGAAATTCTTATAACACAACTACATAAAAATGAAATTTGATGATTTTTCTCAAACTGGACAATCCCCCCCCAAAAAAAGTATATTTCGAATCTAGGCAGTGGTGGAAAGGCTGCCTTTGATGCCCTTCCCTTATAGTGAGATTGATGACTCCCTTGGTTACCATTCCTAGAACCTTGACCCAATAGCTGATCGAAGCAGAAGTAGGTACCCACAGCTAAACACTGGGCCATACTCTTGGATGGAGGAGAGATGACGAAATGAACCAAGATGGAACTGGAGATACCCGCAGAAACACTTGACCTGACCTAATGAGAGCACTGCAGACCCTAGTCGTAAAGTGGGGGAACCAGCATTGGAGTGAACCAAGCCCTCTGAATGTGGGTACCATCTAGAAGGCCAAGACAGTCTATGGAACCTCTAACAGTGGAGCCAGGGTTTATTCCTCGGTCACAAATGGACTTTGGGAGTCCTTTCACTATGGAGGGATACTATTACAGCCCAGATACGGAAAGGAGGGTCTGGGCCTTCCCCAAATGATGTGACAGACTTTGATGACCCCCCCATGGAGAGTCTCACTATTCCTGGGGAGTCAGTGAGGGGGCGGGTTGGGGGGTCAGTGAGAAGCATGGGGGGATGGGGGTGAGGGAATGGGGAATAGATATGTAAATAAGAGTGTTTCTAAAAGAAAAAAGAAAAAATTACTTATTTCAGCCAGCCAAGTGAACATTAATATATATGTATATATATGTATGTATACATATATATATTTCATGTCTACCAATAAGAAAGCCATTATTCTCAATTATCTCAAACGTGAAAAACAGCTGCCAACTGGCCACATTGAAGAACAGATTGGATCTTTTTGTTATTTGATTACCTTTATAGACATATTGCTTGAAACCATTATGTAAAGAACTGCAACGGGATATGTATTTTACACAGGAAAGCAAGTACTGCAGAAGTGTCAGGCAGTTCCCTCACAAGAATTGTTATTTAAATTTTTTGTTTCATAACATTTATGAATATTAAAGAATTTTAAATTGTTGTGATTTATTTCCACATTTTAAGTATTCACTTTCACACCACTTAAAAAAATTTCTTTCTCTTAAACAGGCATTCTAAATTGTATAAGCTTCAGGCCCATCTTTTGTTACCAGTGTTTGATCTGAAGGGCATTGCCATAGCTATATGGATGTGTATGTATGCATAGTCCTGCAAGGTACAGGCTTTGTGTCTGCCCAGTGGCCTATGGACAAGTGTTTGCAGCATTTCCGAGACCCTCTCTTAGAGTCCAGCCAGCTGGCAGAGTACTTTCAACTATGTCCTTAGCAGCCGGAGGCAAGAGATTTTCCTCAACAAACAATGCTTCAAAGTGCAACCCACCATTTTCTCTTGTTAGAAAGCCTCTGTGCGGCCTGAACAGGAGTAAGCAATGTCTTCTTTGCAAAGCAGGGGAATGGCACTGCAAAATCACGAGTCTGGGCAGTCCCTGAGGTAGTTCTTTGGTAGTTGATTTTTGTGAAAGCCCAAATATGGGTGAGAGAAGCCCGCCTGGGCGGCTCAGGTGTGTGAGGCTGACTCAAAATAAAAGTAGGAACAGGGCTTGGGGTATTGCTTAGTGGCGACACATTCGCTGGGCAAGTGCAGGGTCTGGGTTCAACCCAGTTCCAAAAGGAAAGGAAAGAAACAAGCAAACAAAACAAGTGCATGTCGGGAAGTCTGAGAAGGAGAGAGAACTAACCCTTGGTCCCAGTGCATGAACACGGGAGAGGGATTAGCAATTTTTACTTCTGAAGCTTTGTGTTTCCTAGCATGGCTTAGTCCTGTCATCAGAAAAACTATGCAGGAAAGTGACCGCAGGAAACCCCTAATAATTCCTAAGTCCACACATCAGGAAGCCAAGCAACAGGGAGGGCTGGGAGCACTATAAAGTACCGTAAGAAATTCTCAGAACAATTAATTTAAAGAAAGGAATTAAGCAACTAGCTGGGAAGACGGGAACTATACCTAGGAATACAGTTCTCAGGTGAACCTCATGAAATTGCCTTTTTATTATAGGTCAATAATGGTTACTTCATATGACTGAGAGTGTCGCGATTGAACTGTCAACACTGTATGGCTCAAGTCAAAGGGCGTGGGGCTATTATTTTTCTTTCTGGTTGGCCAGTTCTTCACTCAGTGTGGCATTATGAATATGCTACCTACTGGGGTGAAGCATACAAGAGGTGTCTCCCAGTCAGCGTGATAACCAGAGGAGGCAGCTGTGCTGTGCATTCCCACATATGTATGGCAGGGAGAGTCAGCGTGCTGCTGACCAAATGCCCCCTGTCACTCACACGTCCCTGAAATTGTTGCAGAAGCCAATTCGGGGCCACTACAAAGAATGCCCAGAGGAGGTGGGCATTCATTAGACTCCCAAAGGAGAGAACGGGTTGTGTTGGGGACAGAGGTTACCTATGTTCCTTGTTTGCTCTCTGCTAGCAAAAGTGAACAGGCTGAGAAGAAAATGTTGGGTTTGGGCAAAATGGAGAATGAAAATAAAAGAGAGCAAGATGCATCTTTTAGAAAGGGGGATGGGAAAGGAAGGTGGCCCACGAGGTGAAAAGTGTAAGAAAAGGAAACTTAGAAAAGCAGACTGACAGCCCACGGGCGAGCATAAGCGGGTGCAGGTCCCAGCCTGAAGAGGGCGACCATTTCTGGAAGACGCGGGGCAGAGCGCTTTGGAAGGGTCCACTGGCCTTCGTTCCTGCTGCTAGAAATGTGAGCACCGAGAGGTTGGGCCAGCTGCTGAGTGCTGCCAGCAGGGCTATCTCAGCATTCCACAGCTTTCCAACGTCACCCTGTCTTAGGAAAGAATCAAAACCGTCTCAGGGAGGGTACTTTGCTTGTGAACACAAGGTGTTGTGTGTCTTAAAACATTAGATACCTAGAACAAGCCTGACAAAGTCCAGGAACCGGACAGGACTGCTGTTAAGAACAAGCCTTAGGCCGTCCTAATGCTGGAGACCAGAACACCTGCTGCACAGACCAGCGGTCCCGACCACTCTGCACACAACACAGTTCCCTGTGTGTTCACCTCACACCCTCCCAGGCTTGTGAGAGAGATGTCCGCTGTTTCACAGCTGTAAAAGTCACCGCCACCGTCATGCTCTGGGTCACTGAAGAAATGATGGGTGAGGAGAGCAAGAATGTGTCTACAAGGGCATTAATATTGAAAAATAAATAGTAGTGCAAGCAGTCACAAGGACTCCCAAAGCATAAAGCAACTTAGAGGGAGAAAAATGGATTCTATTTGCTCTGTAGAGAAGCTGAGGTTGTCAGTGCTGTAAAATAATTTTGTATGGGGAGTGTTCGTTAGTCTATCATCTTTTCTCAAGATCTTTAAAAAACACCATATACTTCAAAAAAGAACCCCAAGGTCCTCAAATCTTCCCTCGAAGCCAGAAAAATCACACACACACACACACACACACACACACACACACACACACACACACACACACACACACCATGCTGTACAATTCAGCCTTTAATTACATTCACCTAGTTCCCTATTGTTTTACCATCATCTTCCTGCACTGAAGACAGACCTTAAGCTCCCTGAAGGCAAGAAACCAGCCTTCAAGTTGGCGCCCAGCACCCAGAACACAGGTCCCCAGCAAAGGCTGCTGAATGGAACCGAGGTGGTGGTGGGGTTTCAATGTCAGCCTGCTGGTCCACCGGGGCCCCTGTCTGGTCCCCTCACCCCTAAACCACCCTACATCGTTGCTATTCCTCACTGAGGCCAGGAGGAGGCGCCACGGACTCGGGTTAAGCTTTTCCCACCCCTCTGCTACCCCACTTCCCCCAGCTCATGACGTGAGAAGCAGCCTCAGCCAAGAGTCTTAGCAGTAGGAGTGAGGGGGTGATGGAGGGGGCTTGGGGGTGGGGAGGGGTGGGGGGCGGAGAGCAAGAGGACGCGCGTGCACACACACCCTGTCTCTTAGATTTCTCCTCCTGAGCTCGAGTGTGAGAGGTAGGGTGTGTGTGTGTGTGTTGTGTGCGCGCGCGAGCGCGCGCCTGTGTGGCACGTTCCTGGGTGTGAGACCCAAATCAAGACCAAGACCTTTGATGTCCCCGCCCTCCCAGCGTCGCCGGTGATTAATACCCATTTTTCTTACTCTCCCCCTCCTCCCCTGCCTTTCCTCTCCTGCTGCCGAACGCTTGACTTGCCCCCGCCTGCTTCCCCTCCCCCGGCTCCCATCATCACCAACTGGAATCTGGGCTCTCCTGCCTCTCCACCCCCCCCTTTTTTTTTTGAGAAAGGAAGGTCCTCCCCCACCCCCTTTCCAGCACCACTTCCTTGGGCTCCTTCACCTCTAGGAAATCTCGGGGCTTGGCTCTATGGAGAAGCGCTCCCTGGGTCAGGCTGCCTCTCCATCCCTGGCATCCAGCGGTGCTGGCGTCCGAATGCTTTTCCTTCAGCTCTGCAAAGAGTCGTAGTGAACTTCCCACCCCCGGAGACTGATCCGTCCATCCTGCCTTGCAGGAAAGGGAACCCTCAAACCTCGACACCCGCCACCCCTTTCTGGACACTGCCACCGCGGAGGCGCTCAGAGCCGGTACGTAAATGCTCGCTTTGGAGTCTCAATTTTGGGGGCTTGGGGAAATCAGACAGATAAAGGGGTCGAAACCTTGGCACGGTTAACCAACCTGGTGTTGGGTACAGCTTTCCGATCCAGCAGCACCGGGCACTTGGTATTTTGGATGGGGCTTTTTTTTTTTTAACAAAAGGATATTTTGGGGGAGAGGGAAGGGGTAGGACTGCCTTTGATGTTTCTGAGGGGGTTAATCCTGCTTGCCGAGAGGCTGGGCAGCGGTGCCCGCGGCGGGAGCCACGCGCTGCGACCCTCCGGTCCAATCCACTGGCTGCAGGTGCAGCCCGGTGCGCTGCACATCAGCGCGGCGGCGGCGTGAGTGTGCGCGGGGGTGAGTGTGAGTGCGCGCGGGGGCGCGTGCGCGTCGGGGGCGTGTGTGCGCGCGTGTCAGTGTGCCCCTTCCAAGAAATGCCCAGTGTGCGGCCGGTGCACAATCAGAACCCGTTGAGCACGAGCCCAGGGTGGGAGGAGGCTCTGCTGCTGGTGGAGATGAGGAGAGCTAGCCAGACATGTCAGCAGCATTGCAGATGGGGCTGGGGGCCGCACTCGCTGGCGAGTTAAGTGGGGATGGTGTGCGTGTGCGCGCGCGCGCGTGTGTGAGTGTGAACTGCTGTGTGGAGCCTCCTTTCCCTGCCTTCCTCCTTGCTTCTCACTTCCCCCTTTCCCTCTCTTCGATTCAGGTTGGCTTTTCCCACTCTCATCCATGCCTGTCCCAGGAATGGTATAGGCAGACCTTTTCTGAATTATTTATAGATTGGTGCCAGCTGTTTTCAATTCCTCTCGCGTGCACTCCGTGGGAAACGCAGGATTTCCTCCCCTCGTTTCTTATAACGACTTGATATATACATATATATCTTTCCGGCTTGCATTTTGCTCACCCTCCGGGGGACACTCGAATCAAACCCTGACCTCCTCTTTTTTCCCCTTAGGAAGGGGATGCTTTGGGAATGACCATGCCCCACCGAGGGACGGAGCCGGCCCCCAGCTTCTCCACACAGAGACTCCTCTACTAAAGCTTCAAAAATTAAAAAAAAAAACCGTAATTGCCAGAAGACTCCTTAAATATATATATTCGGGCCACTAACCTCACATGCACATGGGATAATGACTCTGGATTCTGCATTGTGAGCTGCTTCCCACACCCCGAGCTTCCTTTTTTCTTTGAATTTGCATCTCTTCAAGACACAAGATTAAAATCAAATTTACGCTACACTGGATTTTAAATCTCTTCCGTTCCTTTATCCTCCGTCTTTCTTATGTGGATATGCAAGCGAGAAGAGGACCCTGGATATTCCCAACATGCACTCTCCCTTAATCTGTCCGCCTAGAGGTTTGGCTTCTACAAACCAAGGTAGGGCAATTCTATTTATTCTTTTTCCTCACCTGGGGTAGGGATTCCTCATTTCTATCTGTCTTTTCCAGTCCCCACCTTTTCTGGAAGAAAAAAAAATAGCATGATATTAAAATAATGCTGTTTCGGGGAGAAGGCTTCTGTGACAAAGAAGGGACTCTCCAGGTTATTTCTTTTCCTTCTGTCATCAAACAGGTTTTTTTTTCATTTGCTCCCCCTCACCCCGGGAAGGTGATGGGGGTGGGTGTATGCAGGCACACAAGATGTTGGAGGGCGTAAGGGGTGTATGTCTATATGCAGACACAGCCAACCAGGACCTGTATGCTTCCCTTACTAAAACAGCATTTTATTCACCCAGAGCTAACGTTAGATCTTGATGGGCATCTAGATATTTTTCTCCAAGCTGAGTCTTTTCCCTTGCCATCTTCATTTCTGTTGCCCTATCTCCTGACTTTACCTTTCCATGCTCTGCATAAATAAATAAATAAATAAATAAATAAATAAATAGAAAGAACAGTTGGGATTACGGTGGCTATTGCCCTGAAACCTACTTGGTGTCTAAAGAAGGGGTTGACACTAGGCCCACAGATCCCAGGAGGCCTATTGCAGAGAGGCAGGTGGAAAGGGGGAACTGGCTGGTCTTAGAACACCTGGATGCTGCAGGTTGAAGACTTCCAGCTGAAGCTTGAAAGGAAGGGATTCTGTCAATATTCTGCTTTTCATTTGTATCTTTTCCCTGTGAGCTATTATTTTTTGAGCTGTAAATTTCTCCTTCTGTCCACACGTCTATTTATACCCACACATCCTCCAAGCAAACTGTTACTTCCACACTCTGGCAAAATGGCTATCTTGCAGGGTTCTGAAGCTCCGGGCATGTGGAAGGGGTGCGGAGCCCGACACGTGAGTCTTTGTGTTAAACAAAGAGATGTGCTGCTTGCATGTGCTCATCTTGCAGCCTCAAAAACAGGACTGGTATTTTAATTTTTATCCTCTCATGCATTTTAGCAATATTTGAGATTGTTATTTATGTGAAATATATATGACATATCCAATGCATGTATAAAAATATAACAGTATGTGAAATGTGCCCAATCTGTTGGGCAGCATCTGAAAGAACAAATAGCAGGAGCAATGGGAATGGTTTAGCTAACAGCCCTTCTGCTGGCCACTCAGGCAAGCCAAGACTACTCTTGAGAAAATCAGACCGTCGCTTGCTTGACGGCCAAGATGGGGGTCTGGTTATTCCTTGCCTTTCTACACTGACCACATACCTCAAACCTCCAAAGATATTCTCAGGCAGGAATGGGGCTGGGAATAGGTCCTCAAAATTATGGAACTGAACCATGAGCATTCAATAGTCCTCCAAATACTACCCCCTCCACCCAAGTCATTTAAAAAACAATCACCCTTTAAACAATGTGGAAATACTAAGTGTTGTAGGGGAGTTAGTGGAAGGTCCTTGCCAGTCACTCCAGATGACTGTAGGCGACAGTTCTTTACTGTCCAGAAAGGATGGATAAGAGTGCCATCCAGATTTACTGTTCCCCTTCCCTAGCCCTCGTTCTCTGCGCTCTCCTTGCTGGAACACGGATCTGTAACCATGGTGTACTGCGAGGGAAAGTGTGGGACCCCAGTTTGAACCATGTTCTCACCATGTCTTCAAATAGCTGAGGTTATCAGGTGTGTGCTCACCTTAGAGACACCTGAGCCGGTTCCCTGTCTACGTCTCACCCTTCTAGTGGGAGGATGAACTCTTAATTCACTTCAAAATAGAACAGAGGAATTGGTGAGGATGTCAGCTCAATGTGCAGAGAGTTCATACACACAGATGGACAAAGATAGGTGGTCGCCCGTGACAGTGCTCTGCAACTGAGTAGGACCTGGGGAGGGTTCCTTGGTGATAAGATCAGTAGGGGCTTCAAGTAGGGTCTCAGCCAATTCATCCATCAAGCACGCTAATAAGATTAAGTCAAGTTCCAAGCTGTCATTAGTTGGCCCAGGGACTAGGCAAAGGCGAAGAGGTTAAAAGAGTAGAGTCTGAGGAAGAGAAGGCAGAGGGGTTGAGAAAGCTAGAAAGAAATGAGAAGTAATTCAACTGGAAAAGGCTTGTTAGGGGTCAGGGAAACACTGCCACAGGTGGTCTGAGGCTATTCTGAACTCAAAGCCATTTTGGGAACTCTGGTGAAGAAGCTGTGTGTCCTCTCATTGTGTCTTTGCGAGCAGGGACCATGTTGCTGTGACTCAGTGACGTTCTGGATCATTCTGGGGCGGTTGTTCTGGCCCTGTCTTCCCTTCCCATCACAAAGAGCTGAATGGGTTCTCCTTTGTCTTCTTGTCTTTTGCCGTCAACCTTGTGGTGGGTGACATGGGAGGTAGTGGGACCAATGGTGGGAAGAAGGACAAATTTAATCGCAATCGAATAGCCTGTGATTGGTAACTAAGGAAAAATTAATAGGAACTGATGAATTCTCAGGGATACATGGTTAAGGCTGTGGCTTTAATGGGAGGAGAACCTCATGTGGTTCTCTTCCTGTGTTCCAGGTATGGTGGTGTATGATGGGCCAGGGAAAGGAATGGTATGGCAGATGCCAGCGTGCAGGGAAAGAAGCAGGACGTGACACTGAATTGTCTGATTTATCTCTTGGTTCCAGCCCTAGGAAGCTTGCCCATCTGCAGATTCTTGCTTTGCTACTGGTCGTGTGTGATCTTTGTCAGGGGTGAATGTAGGCAGGGAGAATAAGTAAGGAGAGAAAATGACAGGCGAGGAGAGGGAGAGAGAGAGAGAATTCCTTTGCATTTAAAGGCTGGCTAGGAAGAGCGACTTCTTCAGGAGGGAGGGTGAACAGCAAGGGACCTTATCACCTTGCTTCTGTTTCATCTCCAGGAAGATGGCTTTAGAACTCTGGCCATTTTCTCAGACCTTCAGCTCCATTCAACTGAGCATGGGGAGGGGCAGTGGCCACCTTTGAGAGAAACACAGGGATAGAGGAGTGAGTGACAGTTGTTTGATGGGGAGGAGAAGGACTTACCTTTGCAGTGTCTTCCATGTCCTGTACGGCTATGATGAATCCCAGGGGCAGGGATTTTTTCCTTTAATTTCTTCTTCAAGAATCAAGGGAGGGTAACATCTTCGCTAGTATCGGCGAGCTACTGCAAACGTTTGGTTAATGCATGTGGGCTATGAAACACAGAAGAACACAGGGTAAAAGGACGTTGGATGTGAAGAACCCATGGCCTCAAATTAAACATTTAGATCCAGAGAAGAGAAGGAATCCAGCTCTGACCCGACCATTGTGTAGGTTTGAAGCAGGTGTTTCAAATGATGGGCCTTTTTCTTTAACAGTGAAGATAGGGAGTGACCTCCAGCCCGTTGCTGGTATCTTGGTGGGGGTCAAGAGTAGAGGCTGCAGAAGTTAGGGTCTCCTCTGTTCTCCTTGCCATTTTACATTCTCCTTAAGAATCACCTCCATTCAGTGAACTCCATTTTCAGTCTCTGCAACCCTGCCCTTGACTGGGTACTACTGCACTGTTCCCCTGTAAACAAATATGGATCGGAAGAGTTGATGGGGTAATGAATTGTTTATACTTATTAAAGTGCCTCTCCTCTTCATAACCATAGAAGAAGGCTCCAGGGAGAGAAGATTAGTGGTTGGATTGGCATTGTCTTCCAGGAAGCTGGAGATGGGAAGAGCAGAGTGCAGTCAGCAGAGGGAGCACGCAGAACTCAGAGGAGGTGGGTTTCTGAGGTCCAGATACCATTAGATGCAGTATTAGCTGTCTGTCTAGGACTGCTACCCCCACCTACTGGGCGGATGAACTTTTTGGGATTTGTAGACCCGAGAGATGTGTGTTCAGGGTCCTTTCTTATTTGCTTAGTGTTCTAGTGCCTTACTTCCATCTTGTCACTTCCTAGCCCTGTCAGCCGAGGCTGGCAGGGAAGAAAGCTAATGTTTACGATGTCTCCTTGTGGCGATTTCCATAGCGGCCCAAGCACAGTGCTTGTCTGCCCTTTCTGTGTTTTCCCAGCGTGCATTTGAGGTCTGAAGTCACCTTTCCCTTCTCTTAGTTACGTGCCCTCATTCCTCTTCTAAGAAGTTCACAAGCTCCTCAAGGGCAGGGAGAGATGTTTATTCATCTTGGAATCATTTGTACTCCAGAGATAGGCATATGACAGATACCTGGAAAACACCAGGAGAGTGCGTAGGGAGAACGTGCAGGGAGAGTGTGCACAGTATTTACCAGTCAATGATGCTAGCTGCTATTTTCCTGTTTGGTGGTATAGAATGGGGTGAGGGTTTTCTACGAGCGTGATCAAGAAGTGGGAGCTTAGCCGTCATCTACTTTGGCCTTATTTCGTAGATGAAGAAGCTGGGATCTGGGGAAGTGATTTTCCCAAGGTTACTGACTGCTAATACTCCCAGCAATACACCACTGATTGCAACAAGAGGTGGCGATTGTCTATGGATTTCTGATGTCTATATCATTACTTCTCTAACTTTATTGTATACAGGCGTCATGGGGGGTGCGGTTAAAATGCACATTCTGATTTGATAGGTCTGTGGGAGAGGCCAGATTCTCTGAGTTTATCATGTCAGGGTTCATGTTTGATTGGCTCAGGCCCACGCCATCTGTGCATCTGAACGCCATCATAGTTAATATTGCTGTCTCCATATTCCATTTTGTGGCCCTATAGCATCTTTTTCTATTTAATTAGAAAGCAACTATATGTTTAATTTTACCCGTTTCTTATACATTTTTGTTTTTAATTCTATCCATGTACACCCGTTTGACTCCTTTTTCATCATGTATGTTTTCTGATAATGGTTTTCTTTTCATTTTGTTCTGCTTCTTGTTTTATTTTTTTATTACCACCCATTTGTCTCTTCTCACTCACACTGCTGTTGACTTTTAATTTAATTCATGTTTATGGCTTTTGCTCTTATTCAGTTATTCAATAAACACTTGGTAAAAACCAATATTCATCAAGCTACGAAAAAGTT